TCCTGAGGATAAAAGAACTACCGGTTCTAGGAAGGAACGGGAGTTTAGCCACTAATGCAGAGTAAATAAACATTTTTCACCACCTCTTGCTCCATGTGATTTTTTTTTTAAAGGTCAAGAGCTGCCATTACAGTATTTTAAAAGCCTCAATTTATGTTTAAAGAATGTATCACTGAATTCACAGAAACCTTATCAGAATTTAGGAACCTACTGTGATTGTTTGGATCTTGAAGTTTAGCATCACTGGGGGATAGATTGTAAAAGGAATGCAGATGCCCCATGGTTTCTAACATCCTGCAATTTGCTCAAAGTGAATGTTGCTCAAGCTCTTCCAAATTTTCTTCAAAACATGGAGAGTGTTGAGACCCTTCGATTTCAAAATGTCATACGATCTACATGAAAGGTCACCCATTGGGGACAAACAAGAATACGGTTCTGGGGCCCTTTCATGACAAGCACGTTCAAAACGCAAAGGATGGGTCACGATCCTGGGAAACCTTCAAATGTGTGCGTGAAAGAGAGAGAAGTAAAAGGCAAAGGGAGATTTCTCTTTTTAAATTAAAGAATAAAAAGCTTACTTCAAGGAAGTGTAGCATAACACAGAAAGACTTCCTCAGCAACTGAGGTTTTCAGATTTCAAATTAGGAGCCCTTAGATCACGGCTGCTAGGCTAAAAATCAATTCTATATTTTCTGAGTTAATACTAAGGATTGCACTTAACAGACACGGAGACTAATAAGGTATGCAGCAGGAGTAAAAGCAGCACACAGCACACACACAAATTCAGGCCTTAGTTTTGGCCACGATCCAGCACAATGATGTTTCAACCAGATTTGAAAAAAAAATCAATAACATCTGTGGTATAATGGTTAATTAAAGCAGCTCTTCAGCAGAGCTCAGGAGGAGACGCTCGGCCTGAAATTCAGACAGCTGAAGCTTGATTATCAGGAAAGAATGCTTTTTTAGCTATAAGTGGAGAGGCCAAAAGCTGCAATGTGCCGAAATGGGGAGAAAAATTGCTTTTATTTTAACTTTCTTTAAGTAATCAATACATGCTTTTCACCTGTATTTGGATCCTGCTCAGTTCCAAAGCCTGTTACTCCACTTCAGCATAAATTCTAGCTACTGTCTTTTGAAACTTAGGTTTTAAAATGAGCCCCCATTCCCTTGAAAGCCAAAGAAAAGAATATGCAGGTGGAGTGCATGTCCTCGAGACCAGGCTCTAGCATGGTCTGAAGGGTTTAATCCATAAGGTATGCGCAAAGCTGACCTGACCTTGGGGCATACAGAGGTCATAGACAAAGTACTAAGGAGGCGGCACAAAACTACTAAGAATTCTCAAGGAAACTGAAGAGGAGGGTAAAATCTTCTTTTTGTCGTCCTTCCTATTGTTTTGAGGACCGTACTGGGGATGTCCTCTTTACCTTTTTAAGCACAAAGGTCAAAGAATCAACCATAACGTCTACTGGTCATAGATGGCAAGGTCGGCAGGTGACTTCTCTAAAGATGGGGCAACAACACCCCATCTGACTATTTTCTTGGCATTTTGCTTGGCTTCTACCTTGAGTAAAAGTGTCCCTAAGGGCTGCAGATTTGAAAACTCCCTCCAGCCAACTGCGCTCAGAAAGGGGCAGAGGGTTCCAGAGCTTCACGGAAGAGTGACACTGGAGCAGAGTCTTGGAGGAAGAGTTTCCAGGCAGACATTGGAGAAAGGCAGAGAAAGCATTCAAAACATATGCTTATGTGAATTATAAGGATTAGCTCAGAAAAAATATACCTGTGTATGGAAGAAGTGATACAAAGGTTTTGTAAAATCTTCATAATCTATATTTTACATCGGCTACCCTCATTTTAAGAACTATCAGGACCAGAGATTCCAAGGCCTTCCTTTATGGTTATCACAATCAGCTAGTTCTTTCTTTCATCTGACCACACACTCTCACTGGAGGTTGGAAAATTCATCAGTATGGTCTCTAAATTAAGTGTGTTCAACATTTTGGCTTTTGCTCAGGGGTCCAGCTTCTCACCCTATAACTTTCCTTTTCAACATTTCTCTGAGCCCTTTCCAGATTCCCTTCTTTTTCTCCACAATTTTAAAATGTGAACTAGATTTAAAGGTGCCAAGAAGCCCATCAGTACACTTCTAAGAATGCCTTAGAAAGAAAAATAATAATGCCTACCCCTTTTCATCTTAAAAATGTTGGTATCTGGGTGGAATCCTGCTCCCCCACTTACTGTGTAATCTGGGGCAAGAAACATAAACTCTCTGGACTTGTTGCCCCATCTGAAAAATGGACATATCACAATATCCAAGGTTGTTATGTGGATTTAATGACTTAATATTTGTAAAGTATTTAGAATAGTGTCTGGCACTGAAGAATTGCCAAATCAGGGATTGTTAAATAAATCAGTTACCAGCATGTGGTTCTCTGATCGAGCCTATTTTTGTCATAATTTTGCTTGTTCATTTTATTGCCTCAAATGCAACTCGCCAGTTATGCAATTCAACCATTCTCTGCTGTATCTCTCCACTATCACTTCAAATTTGATTTTTGTCCTTTCATGTATTAGCATCTCATACTCAGAGTCAATTATTTATTCCTAATTTTTAAATTTCATTATCCACATTTTAAAATAATGTAGATTGTCGTCCCTGCAAAGGATTGACATTTGCCTTTACATTCCTCTGGATGACTTCTATGATTTTATATGTTGAGGACTGACTCTCCATTCTTGCATATGTTCTTCTGAGTTGGCCTTTATGCTTTCCCTTGATGAACTGGTATAATTTCAGTTTCTGTAGCCATTTATTTAGCACCCCATCTTTAATTCTTTCTGGAATATGGCAGGTATAAGTAATTAAATAAAGCTTCAAGTGTATATATCTTGAGCAACTACCAATTTAGGCAACATGCTCTCTGTTGTGAATACAAAACTATGATGAGTATTGCTTAGAATTTGTTTCAGAAATTAACAGAATTAATTATTATGAACAGAAATTTAACTATGGGGCTTAAGCACACTCAAATCAGGTCTCTTGTATAAAATAAGATGGGAGTTAAGCAGCCCAGAGGATGGGAGCTCCAAAAATTCAACAGGGACCCAGAGTCCTTCTTTCTCTCCTATTTCGGCTTTCACCCTCGAGGTCATCTCATGGTTCAAGATAGTTGCTGAAACATCAGCTACTCCATCTGTAATCCAGGCAGTAGGAAGAAAGACAAAAGCAAAAGCAGGGAAGGTATGCACCTCTTCCCCTTAAGGAGTCTTCCCAGAACTCCCACGTAACAATTTGTCTCACATCTTATTTGCCAGAATTTAGTCATATACCTAGCTGCATGGAAGGCTGGGAGATGTCGACTTTATTCTGCTGTCACTTGTTCAGCCAAAAAAAATCTTGTTAAAGTAACCAGACGAAGTCCAAGATGGAGCTACTCATGCTAAGCCACATGTCAGGAAACCAAAGCTTAACTAAGTTTCTATACTTGGGTCTTCCAAGAAAGGAAGGCATACACCAACCGACTGCTTAGCACAAGTTAGCTAACCCAGCTCCAAGACTTCCGTTTGCTCCATATAAGGAAAGTAACCTTGCAATAACCAATATATTGTACTTATCCTTGTGTGACTTCCCTGTTTCTGTTCCCTTCTGCCTAGAAAAGCCTTTTATTTTGTGCTGCTCCTCAGATCTCCTTCTGTTAGATTGGATGATTCCCAATTCATGAATTGCTGAATCAAGCCAATAAGATCTTCAAAATTTACTCAGTTGAATTTTGTTCTTTAACAGTCAGGATTCTAATGCTAAGGAAGAAAGTGAAAATGAATTTTAGTGCTCAACTAGTAGTCTCTGTCACAAAATGGATTGTGGCAACCAGGAGCTCAGAGGTCAATGGCAATGATAAACGTGAAATAAATAATAATATTATGAAACGAGTGCTTATCAGTTTTATGTGAAGTTGGTGTCTTTCATTTTCATTCATTGATATGATTTACTCCTCTGTAGTTATTTTTTACTCCTTTCCACTGCTTGCTTTTCCCCAGCCCCTGCCATCATCCTCCAGGCTGAACCAGGCGTAGTGCAATGTGGCGTTAATTGACCTCCTAAAGTACAGACTCCACTGAATTACTGGGGTTTATGCAAGTGTACGTCTCACATACAAGTCACAAAGCAACTTGAGGGTAGGGACTGGGCCTTAGTTATCTTTACAAAGAGAGTGTGTTTAGCTTGGGAAGTGCTCAACAGTTGCTGGTTGGATGATTTCCTGTGCTTGAGAAAGTGTTTTTTAAAGGCCATTTAGCTCCTCCAGTCTTCTTTGCCACTGAAGGAAAATGTCCACCTCAGATCATTTCTATCGCTGTAGAATGGCTTTCCCAAAGCTCTGGTCTCACACCATTAACCAAATAGCATATAACTAACTTCAGGCGTATCCTTTAACCTGTCTGGCCTGCATTATCCTAATATTCCTGTCTTAAAGTTTGGAGCCTGAAGAAAAGTGAAAGTAATAAGATATGAATGGAAGATTAATGTTATGAAAATATTAATTTTATGTTTTTCTAAAGACTTTAAAAATCATGAATTGATTGTAGGGTTTCTTTTTTTTTTTTTTAAAGATTTTTATTGGGGAATTGGGGGAAGGAGAACAGACAAGTTGCTGTCGTTTTAGTTCTTCAGTCTAGTTGTGGAGGACGTTGCTTCACTGGCCCAAGTTGGCACCATCATTGCCCGCTTCCCGGGCGAGGCACATCAGTCGCTGGCTTCTGGACGGCCGCTCACTGCGGCTGCTGGCCGCTCACGCTGGCTGCTGGCTACACACGGTAGCCCATGGCAACCCACTGCCACAGGGGCTGCAGCCTACGCCGTCGCCAGCGACTTACAGCAGCCCAGCTCCAGGTCAAGCTGTTGTTCAGCATCTCAGCTGCGGAGGGCAGTGTCACTGGCCCTCATATGTGGGATCCGAACCGGGGCCCTCTGGTGTCTTAAGCCAGTTCTTAACCATCACGCCACTCGGCCAGCCCTGTAGGGTTTCTTTTTTATTTGGCAAGGAAAAGTGATAGTAATATGTATGATGCAGATATTTTATAGGAAAAATACACACACACCTCGAAGAACAAATGAATAGATATGAAAAATGCTTTGAAAATGTATTATAAACATAAACACAAAGTTGTATTAAGTTCATTATATTAATAACATTTTCATTAGCATTTCAAAGAAAGTAAAGGAGGTAGTTTATATTTTTGTAGTTAAGGATAAAACACACACATATGAAACCACTGGAGATATTTTCAATGCAGGATAGAAGGACTAGCATGTTAAAGGGGTTTCTATTGTGTAGAGAGGCAGCTCATAAATGCTGAGGAAGCATTTTAGTTGAAAATCAAGCAAAACATATTATGGAGTTTAATTCATTCATTCAACAATGGTTATCTGTAGGAAATAATGGGAGAATAGTAAGAAGTATTAAGCTAGAGTGAATTGAATAATACAGCAAAAGTGACACTAACATGACACAAAATTATCTGCTTAAACATTCAAAGTCTGCAGGTCAATTAAACTCTGTCACTAAATTCAGTTCACTTCTAAGTGAAACTCATTTAATTTTTATTTTCTGGATTTTTTTTCACTTGGGAGAATACTAAAACAGACTCATAATGATTTAGCTTGCAACATCAGCAGCTAAATGCTAACTATTACAGAGAATTGCAGCCTTTTATCAGTGTTTTGTTTGTTAGGTTTTTATTTTTTTGAGATTTAACCATTATGCACTAAATGTATGATTAGAAGAACTAATACTAATGCCTAGCACTTTTCATCTTAAAAAGCCTTTTATGCACATTAAAAAATTAATTCAAGTAACATTTAGCAAGGCAGGTACTATATAAAATTATTCCCACTGTACAGATAGGAGAATAAAGCAAAATTGCTTAACTCAAGGCAATATCCGTACCAGAGAAAGGCGGGGGTTGAGGTGGTTATAGCTACAATGAAATGAAAGAAATTCTTATATAGGGTTGCCAGATAAAATAAAAAATGTCCCATGCAATATTTGGGACATACTTATACTAAAAAAATGATTTGTTGTTTATTAGAGATCCAGATGGAATTTTTTGTCATGTAATTTTACCTCATAACAATGGCAACCCTACTCAAGAGGCCACACTTTTCCATTTGAACCATGGCTTACTTTAAATGACAAGAGCTGGCAGTAGCATTTTAAGAAACAGGAAACTCCAAAGTACTCTATCATGTCCCTTTTCACTTGTGTTTCTCCCCATGGTAGCCAACTACTTACACTGAGGATGATGACGTAAAAGGAAAGAGGACCATCAGGCAGCCTAGAGTTTCTCTTCCTTTCAGTCCTTCCTTACTCATCAGTAGGCCTGAAGTAGAGAGTTGCTAGAGTGTGCATGTACCAATAAGTGAAATAAAAACAGTTGAGTTAGTTTTGTGCAGTGTTTCCACTGTTTTCATAAGAGCTAAATAAATACACGAGCTATGAAATCCACTCCCCACCCACCACTAAAGAAATTCTTGGATTCCCAAAATGTGTTCTGTGCAGAGTATCTTTTATTTCTGAAATAATCTTTACCATTAGACTAAATAGTGAATCAAACTCAGAAAAAATGAATCGTGTCTGGCCTGGACTAAGGACCTGCTGTACTATGTCTAGCTCATTGTCAGTTACCCGTGAACATCATAAATATGTCCTGACTTCTTTTAGTCTCTAGCTCTCAATGTCATCATATGTAAATCTGCAGAATGGTTTCATACGTATTTATTAACCATACATACTTACTTACCTCACATGCTTCTAAGACATAAAGGACGTGGGTGTATGAAAACTCACATAACTCCATTTCAATTGTCTTCGGCATCGTACACTCTGATGTATTCGCTCTGAACTCCCTGAAAGATGGAGAAAGAACAACTCACACTGATTGAAAAATTAATGACTCATTGCCAGCATCTTGGAGGAATTTTTTACGAACTATAAGACTGAGGAAGTTGTAATGAGAACAATAATAATCAGCTTATGATATATCTCAACAAAGAGAACAGCCCCTTCTCACCTATAACCAGCATTTCTGGTTGGCATATACAACAGCTATATTCTCAAGTCCTTTCTCCCTCACCCCAGAAAGATGTGCTTTCCAGGCATGCCAATGCAGCCCCCTCCTCCTTGAATGTGAAAGTGAGAGAGCTGTCATCTTAAGACCATATGGGGACGTGCATGTGGATGAAAAGCCAACACTCTAAGGATAACAAAGCAGAAAGAAAGTTAATAACAGGTGAACAGGATTGCCAAGACGAGACTGAAATTGCCAACCTCTGTACATAATGGGTAAATAAATGTTGTTACAGTCTATTCAGCTGTTAGTTAGATTTTCTGTTACTTGGAGCTGAAATCATTCCTAACAAATACCACACAGAAAATGTTGGAAAGTTAAAACGGTCTTATCATGGTTATCTTCTCTCTGGCTTGGGACAAAGACATAAATGGGTAGCTTTCCACTACTGTGCAGATGCTGCATTTTAAAACAAATCATTTTTATTTCTTTGGTTACAAAGTAATTAGTGTGTATTGTAGAAAATAGATAAAGTCCAGAAATGCACAAAGGAAAGTTGAAATCACTCATAATCTCACCACCCAGAGATAATAACCATTTATATTTTTACTGTATATACTTCCTTTTCTTAATTGTTAAAAATCAGAAGCATATATTTCTAGCTCATCTCTATGAAACTACAGGTATATAAACGGTGCACAAATACATACATGTTATTTTTGCAAAATGGAATCATTACAATAAAATCCACACAACTCTATTTTTTCTTTTACTGTATGTTGACTATATTTTCATGCTAATAAACATCCGTTTGCATGGATATACATTATGCTGTACAGAGTTTCATTGTATGGTGATACCAAATGTATGTTACCATTTTAAAATGTCATTCTTCCTTCAAAGTAGTGGCCCTATTTTGGTCATGATGCACTTACATGGGACCTTCTACCACCTTGCAGCCTGATTTGCTGACACTCCAAACCCACAAACATCTACACCAGCGGTTCTCAACCTGTGGGTCGCAACCCCTTTGGGGGTCGAATGACCTTTTCACAGGGATCCCGGGTACTTGTGTGGGCGTATCTGCATGTGGGCCTGGAGACGGATAGAGGAGCGGTGTCTCGGTTCCTAAGACCATCGAAAATATGTGTTTTCCGACGGTCTTAGGCGACCCCTGTGAAAGGTTGAGAACCGCTGATCTACACCCTCCAGAAAGTTTCATTACCCCCATTTTCCCCGCTCTGCCCCAGCTTAGATTGCTTATCGGTGGCACACAGGCTTGCCAGGCCCCTGTGTGCCACTGCTCATCCTTTCTAACACCTCCACTCTGACAGTCCTAATATGGTCATGCCCCTTGCTGGAGAAACAAGCCCTAGTCAGCCAGGCAAAAGCTGCCGCTCCTCAGATCCAGCCTGGTTCCCAACCTTAGCAATCCTTCTCCTGCATTAAACAGGAGCCCTTGCTTGACAGCTGCAGTTCCAGCCCTATTTCTATTTCAAAGATCAACCCGTCTTCCAGCCTCAGGGAGGGCTGGGCCCTGAGAGGGAGGGCTCTAAGGAGGAAGAATTTAACGATACTGAAAACTCAGCCCTCAGCTACCCAGTGAAGCACTTGACTGTTCCAAATGAATGCCAAATTCTTTTAATAGGGGGGGGGCACTGCTATATACATAACACTGGTATTAGGTCTTGGGAATTTTTAGAATTTCATATACTATATATTTGATAAATATAGATAGCTGGGTGGCTGCTGACTGGCAGGATATATGGATAAATGGATGAATGGATGTACAGATGGACAGATGGACAGACGGGAAGGCTAAGGATCAGATACCTGAACTCTTAAAAACCTAAGACAAAGGTCAGCAACATTTTTCTGCGTTATATAGTAACTATTTTAGGGTTTGTGGGTCATGTTGTATATTGCAACTACTCAAATCTGCTGTGGTAATTAAAAAACAACCACAGTCAATATGTAAATGAATGGATGGACTGTGTTGAATGTCTTATAATTTTCATGTGTCATGGAATATTATTATTCTTTTGATTTTTCCTCCCAACCATTTAAAAACGGAAGAAGCATTTTTAGCTAACAGACTACGCAGAAACAGCCAATAGATCAGCATTGACCCAAGGACTGTAATTTGTGGACCTTTGACCTGATCTATTGAATGGGGGTGACCATGAAAGATTTGCTCCAAATGCAAAGGCCATAGTTTCTACAGTCATTGGAGCCGTACTGCCCATCACTCTAACAGAGCTTTGGTGTGTCACCCAAGCCTCCATCCACACTGCTTAGACCACTGGAGCAAGCTTTAAATTCTCTTCATTACCAGGGTTAAAGCTTATGTTGTCTATCATTCAGCAGAGACTCCTGTCTTTTTTCACAAAGCTTCTAGCCTTTATTATTCTAAGAATCCTGACCCAACCAGGCCAGATTGATTTGATGTTCTGTCATCATTTCAAACTCAGCATGTTTAAAATGAAACCCATTACTTTTTCTTTAACATGACCTCCCCATATTTTCTAAGCCACTTTCGTTCAAATCCTTAAACATCTTTGATCTTCCTTTTTTATCCTCCAGACCTGGTTTTCCTTCTAAGCTACACATTTACCCAACCACTCCTACCCCAGGACTAAAGGCAGGGAAAGAGAATGGTCCTAGGTTCTAGGTCCAGCTCTTTCATGAACTTGCCTGGTGATCTGAAGTCTCTGAGTCAGGCTCACTTTAAAGATGCTTTAGAAATTCAGAGAAGGGCTGTAACCTTGAGAACTGAGAGTATTCAGGAAACATGACATGCACTTGCACGAGCCTTGAAGAAATTGGAGAATCCAAATTGATAGCTGCCGAATGGCATGTATCTGTGGGGTGATCCACTTTCCAATTATTTGATTAATTGCCCTTACTCTTCCTCAGTGCTTTTTGTCAAGAACTAGTCTAATTTTGTTAAATCTTGACATTATCTATGTAGTCTAAGCAAGAAGACACTTAAAATAAAGCCATGCCTTTTAGCACCAGTTATTCACTAAGTATTAGAGTTTAAGAATTTCTCCTTTTCATTGAAAAGGAACATACAATTCTCTCGATATGGTGGCCTGTGTAAAATAAAGGAGAATGGGCTGGCAGCAAAAAGAGGTAATTTAGCCAGAATTCCTGTGCTCTGTACTTGAGCTATAAACAGGTTTTCATGAGGGCCTGGTGCACTTTTAGACTTTAATAACTCAGGTTGTGCGTGTTAGAGAAACAATCTGTAAACGGTACTCAAAAGTAAATGTATTAAAGTTTAGGACAACTGCATTACACAATTGCACACAATATGGACTCATTTCAGATCCTATGTCAAATGAAATATGGCCGGCAGAATTGAAGTTTGTGACAGTGCTAAGAAGAAAATTGAATTTGCCTTTCAATTCCATTTACGGTTTACTATCATGGCTACCTTGTATGCTTTTGAAGTTAAAAATTTAATAATGGCACAGAGACTTTATAAAGACCCTGTACTTGAATTCAGTGATAAATATAGTTAGGAAGAAGATCACACCATCTCTTAGCAAAGATAATATACCTGCTTACATTGGTTGTTGTAAAACAGCTTCAGAAATGGAAAGTTTAGAATCTCTACAGTTAGCACAACTCAGTAAATAACAATAAAAGAAACTATCTCTAACAGGAATCTAACCGTGGCTGAGTGATGCAGGAAAATCAGTTTTCTCTTCTGTCTTTCAAGTTTTGTTCATCCTAGTCTAAAAATAGGAGTACATATGCCACCAATTCATAGCCACATGGTTTTTATAAGTGCGCGCGCGCGCGCGCGTGTGTATGTGTGTGTGTGTGTGTGTGTGTGTGTGTGTGTGTGTGTGTGTGTGTGTGTACAAGGAAAGGAGGTACCCTCCATATTTTCCTAGTTAAAAGTCTATTCCAATGTACCTTAATATGAGGACAAACACTAGGAAAAGGCACAAAACAACTGAACTGTTACTATTTTCTGCTTGTTTCCAAAACTGGAGGTTGCAAAATCAAAGCCCAGAGTCAACCCCAAAAATCTGGGCGTGTGCCTTTGAGAGGGAGAACAAGAATGAGATTTCTCTTGAAGTCCTCGCTGAATACATAGAGCTGAGAGCTGGGACAGGTTACACAATTTGCAGATTGCTTTGGCTGGTCTCCGGGTGCTTTGCAAAGTTATTCATTTCCTGTATTTGGTCAAGATAGAGAAAAATTGGGCACACACAAATTTGACGTAGCTTTTGATTGCAATAGTCTATCAGATAAGGAGGTAAGATTTCATGATAAGGATGGAGAGCATTTTCACACTGAAGACCAAGGGCAGCCGAAGAAAATGGTGCAATCCGAAGGTATCCATACGCCCAACTCCCCTTTGGGAAACCTTTTCTCCACCTCATAGCTTTCCTGATTTCCTGGAGGGGCACCAAGTGTTGTTCTGCTCAATCACAGCTTTCTTCATGAGGGAATCTGATAAACATCTTCACACTGAGTTGAAAGTTGCTATTAACTCCCTCAGTGGTATTTCATTTTAACAGAAGACTAATTCAAGAAATAAACCTCTAATTGAATGATTTTAGGCAACCCTAGAGTTGAAGAACTTTTAGGGGAAGTAAATGCAAAGAAGCAGGGAGGCTTCCAAGGGCCCTGATACTCTGCAGTGGACAGTCCTTTTCCCAGTCAACTCAGACCTCCACAGCCAGGCTTCAACTGAAGTCAGCCAACAGTTGCACACAGAGCTTTGGAAATAGGCTGGAAATGAAGATCTTTTGGATGACCCGATGGACTTCAATATTTGGAAAAATGGGGATGACATTAACTACTGCATTTTTTTTCTTG